GCATCAATTGCTGATAAGCATGGGTCTGAAATGCATTCTTCAGAAGAGTTGCTGTATGAAATCCGATTTGATAGCATTGCTTTCCTGGTTCTAGGGCATCTGTTATTAAAGCATCTTACAGAAGGCTAAAGTAGCTCAAAGATGTGTTGTCATTCCCCTAAGAGGCTTAAAAACCTCAGGTTCAGAGAAAATCAGCTGCCAAAGAATATCCCTGAAGTCTGTGTCGTAGCCCTGAACTTTAATTGCATAGTCATCCTTCTGCTGTGTGGGCAGTGCTGGTCCACATTCTTCTCCTGGACTGGAAGAACCCAAAGGGGTTACAGGGATTCTGTGTGTTAGAAATGAAGAGCAAGGAGTCTTGATTAACAAACACTTCATTAAATTTTAAGCAGGTGCATAGGCTGAAGCAACTCTTTTTCCCTATGGGAAACAACATTCAGTAACAACCTTTGGATTAGACTAGAAAGGGACTGCTATCAAGAGAGAGGTATAAGAATGAAAATGTACTCTTGGCTTCAAGAAATCTGCCCAACTTTTCTGCCAAATAAAATAATTCTTCTGTTTCCTTTATCAGGCTTTGGATGTGCTGGAAGAAGTTTGTAGCTTTAACTGCAGCTATTTGACTGATAAAGACAGGGTTTATATACTTCTGTAGATATGATAATCCAAACACACAAATCTCCTACCAGTTTGTTAGTGTCTAGCAGTTCATAAATAGGAAACTTCATTAAGAAAGCTGCACCAGAAATACAATTCAGCAGTGTCCTCTGTGGTGTTTTCAGTCAATCACACAGCTTTGGACTTGGTAAGAATCTGAAACAGCATATTGTTCTACCTCAAAGGTCTTCTGATGTTGAATGACCTGTCTTATATTAACCACTGAAGGTGTGTTTTAACATGTCTAAAAATACTGACAGCAGGAGAATCCCTAAATTTCTCTAAAGCTTGTGGTGATTTATATTTATGACAAAGACTGCTTTTTGCACATCCCATGGATTCTGGACACGAATATAGTCATACAATCCTTAGAGTTGGAAGGGAACCATAAAAGCCATCTGGTCCAACCCCTGCAGTGAACAGGGGCACCCACAGGTACATCAGCTTGCTCAGAGCCCCATCCAGCCTGACCTTGAGTGTCTGCAGAGATGGGGCACCCACCACCTCTCTGGGCAACCCGTTAACATCTTTTGTTACAACTAAGAAAACTAGTTCTTGTTAGAATTGGCCAGGGATGCTGTGTATTGGAGTGGCAATTAAAGACCACCAGTAAAAATCCAAAGACAGTGGTAATCACTGGTAACCATCTAAACTTGACTTTAAATCTAGAGGCAAGTTTTAAAGCATTACACTGAAGATGAAACAGCTGGAACTCAACTTCCTATAAGGTCTTTTGCTACCTTAGCACAACAGGAAAAAGTAAGTGTCACTATGGAAAATTCCAAGATCTATGTTAGTCCAAGCTGGGGTTTTGCTATGCTTGAGTGCAAATTCTTTAACTTAGGGGTTATCAAAAAGGGGAACATCCTCAGGCTTGGACATGGAAAATAAAGAATCTTCAGCAATTGGATGACCTACTGTTGTCTCCCTCAAAGACTGCAGTGTATGAATAGTAGTTAAATGATAAGAAAACATCATTTTGCACTCTTTAATTCATTTTCGTCTTGTTGCTTCACTCTTGCTTTCATTCTTTTCCATTTATCACAAGCAGGCAGATGTTTGTTGTTTCTAATGTGTCAGATACTCATAATGCATTTCAATCCAGGGTTCTACAGCCTGGGATCAGGCTGGGAATTTGTTCTCTCCAATTTTGTACAAATTACTGAGAATCTTTCTAATTACATCAGTTTTATCCTGTGCAAAGTTATCCACATGCTAGTTTTATTGTTTGTTCTCATTTATGTTTAAGAGTGAGGTCTCATGAAGTTTTCCTACCATGGCCAGTTGGGTGCTCCAAGTGAACAGTATGTGGTGACAGAGATCCCTTTGGACCAGCAAAACATAATGAGCTCCACTTAAAGATAGGGGTGGCTTTTAATCTACGAATAAATAAAAATTCATAATTACTTTGAAAGCAGAGGCTTCTTCAAGGTTTAACATCACTACAGTAACCTACTAATGTCACCTCCTCTTCAGAAAGGCTGTAATTTTTGCACTTAGAGGGATTTTACGAGCATCAGCCAAAATGTCAGAAAGTTTCCCCTTCTCAACTCTGCCTCACAAGTCCCAGACTTCTTACACTACTTCCCTTTCCAGCTGTCTGCCTCGTTTTTCATGACCTCTCATAGACCCCATATCAGTGGACACCAAGGTCGAGCTGTTTGCATCCAGCTGGAGCACCCAGCTGTCTTCCTATCCTTAGCCATTTGCCTTGGCCCCGCAGTGTAGCCTGGCTCTGTTTCTGTCTAGTCGTGCTGCCTCTTTTCTGCCAGCCCTAGGCTACAAGGCTGGAGAAAAGCAGTCTGAGTTTTCCGTTTCTTGATAATTCAGCCAGGTAAGGGTGTGTTTTCACAGGCATATTGAAAACCACGGCCTTGACATAAAAGCTATTCTGCTGCCAGAGATGCTCCATTAAATGCAAGACACTGATTGTCACAGACAGGTGTGATACCAGTCCTGATGAGCTGAAACACAACTGACCTGAGTATTGGCAGGTTTGTATTTTGAGTCTGGTTTGCTCAAGAGCCCATCTATCTGCTTACAGTTGAAGCTGGAAATTCCAATGACCTTTACCATCCCCATATCTGCCAGCTTTTCCATAGCCTAGCAATAACACAGAATCAGATTTGCTATTGCGTTAAGATCTCTTCCCTCTTCTCTCTTTTCTTTTTCCTTTCTTTTCCCTCCTTCCCTTCCTTTCCCTTTTTCATATGGAAAAAGTGTCTGCAGAAAGACTGTCATGGTAGAGCTCGCCATAGCTGTGATGTGGCAGTAGAACAGCACAGTGAACACTGGCACCTTGGTCAGAGAGTCAGGCTCTCGTGTCACGTGCCATCGTCTAACTAAATAAATGTTAGCGTTACTCCAGATGGACGGGTGTCATACTACAATTATTTCAGTAGGATGCAACGATTTTGAAATGCTTCCCTCAGCAGGCCTTCTGCTCCAAAACAGCAGAGGTGGGTTTTTTAGAATAATCCCTCAGCTGACAAAATAATTTTCCCGTAATAAAAAGCCCACAGTTGGAACAGAGTGGCTGTGTTCAGCTAACCCCTGACAGCCAGAACAGAAAGCCAGATCATCACTGCTGATTAATTTCCCACAGGAGCCGTACCATTTAGCAGTGTTGTTACAGCACAAGCAGTGCCACGTTCCTTCCACTTCCTACTTCACACTAGCAAACGATAAAGCCACTTGGCAGCCCTAATTAGTTTGGCACCTCCAACATAGAAGAAGCAGGAGAGAAATAACGTACTGTCTTTCTAGCAGAAAAAAAACACCTTTACCAAATCAGAAATCCTTCTCAATTGAAGTTGCTATCATAAGCAGCAGCCTGGCGTGACCAATTTTTTTCCTTCAAACGAGCAACAAAACTGTGCCTAATTCTTGCTTGGATTGAAGGGGGGAAGCATCAAGGAACTCGATTGACTTATGAGTCTCTCATCCTCTGAGCACATGGGGGAGGAGAGGAGAGGAAGACGAAATCATTCAGAAAGCAGAAAAGTGGGCCTGCACTGAAGTCTGGACTCACACACTGCCTGTGCACGTACCTGCACACTCAGCATTAGCCATAGGCTTTGGGCAATTCCAGTCCATTCTGGAGGGGGAAATTCGGATGTCCTGGGTAGGTGGCACAGGCATGTTAGCTTGGCTGTGTTCTGTTAGCTCAGGTACAGACTGGGTTGAGCACAGCTCCTGAAAGGACACCCGTGAACGCCTGGTGCATTGTAGGACACCACAACGTGTTTCACATTAGAAATTCTCCCAAAATGACTCCTAGTGTGGTCAGCATGAAGTTTTTGGTCTGTCATTTCAAACTAGCAAGAATTTTTCATTCAGCTGATGAATGAATCTATCATGTATCAAGAAAATCAAGAAATCACTGGGAATTGTCGTACCCTCACTTCTGCAGGAAATGGCTCCTCAGCTGCCTATCATGGCAAAATAAAAGTGGGGTTAAGGTAGGCTGGAATTGTAAGTAGTTAAAGAAATCGCATAGAAATCCAACAAGCAAGTGGATATCCTGACTTATGTTTGTGTTGGGGAGAGAAGTGGCCAAGAACATCATCTGCATGAACACGGTAATCTTCAAGAAAATCTGCCTCTGGAGAATCCGTCCTGCGGGCAGAGGAAGGGCAGACACTTTTATGTGCTCCAGTTGGGCTGTGGGAAGGCTGGGGATGTGACAGAATGGGGAAGTGAGGATTTATTTAACCTGGGAGCAGAGAAAGAAGAGAAAAAAGGGAATTCACAACTGTTTGATCCTGGGTAAGCAAAGGACAGCCAAATCCCTGATCTTAAGAGGAATGTCATCTGGATGGTGATTCGATCCATGCCAAGGAAATGCTGTGTAGGTGAAAGCAAGGTGATTTTGTTTTATGAAACCGGAAACCCATAATCTTACTTTTCTTCCTCATCTCTCATGTATTACGTCACGGCGTCATTGTGTCTTAATGAGATTTAATGATGCTCTTCATTAGATCCCCACAGAAGAAATGTCCTGACAGAGGGCTCAGGAAAGCTGAAGCCTCACATGCCTTGAACCCCACAAGCCCATGCATCAGGCAGAGATCCAAATAATCCAGCTGGAGGGCAGCAAGTGTATTCCAGCAGGCCTCCTTCACCAGAGGCTTCTCATGGAAGGTGCACCACAGCTGGGGGGGGACAGAGCTGGGAGCTGCTCTCCCAGCCTCACAGCTGCAGAGCATCCCAAGCAAGGGGCACTTGGCATGAACAGAAGCAACTCACCATAAAGGACATCTCCTCATCCTGAGGAAGCTGCAGTTATGTGCACCTTACTTTATTTGCAGCACTATCGGTCTGCTAAGTAAAATGAGACTAAGACAAAAATGCTAGAAATTTAAATGAGGATTAAACAAAATGAATTAAAAAGAAAACTGGTGAATATCAACCCCCAGTTTCCAGTAGATAGAAGTTACTTTATTTTTCCTACCATTGTTGTTGGGGGAAGAAACAAAACAAAACAACACCCGGGAGTTAACAGGCTAAGCCCAGCAGCGCAGCAGGGGTGACCATGAATACAATAGCTGTGCTTCCTATCTCAGAGGCAGCTGAGAGCACAGCCTCAGTTCCTGTCTCCTAGCTGACAATGGATATGGACTACAAAAAAAATCCCTCTCACATGAAGCCAGATTTTCAAGGGTTGACCTCTTGCTTCTCTCCATCCACCTAATACACCTGAGAGGAGAGCTAGCTCCCAGCCCAATTCCATTTGTGGGCCCGTGGTCATGCAGGAGATGAGTACCTAAGGCTGTAAATGAAGAGGTCTTCTTGCCTCACAACACCCTCTTTAATTTCTTCTCATAGTGCAGCCCCAATCTCACTCATTCTGGTACATGCAGGTGCAGTTGAAGTGGTGGTAGCCAACACTGATGGCAAACTTCACCGCAACTCTTGCTGTTCCTTGGGGAGACTGAAACAAGAAAAAACAGAATATAATAGAAAAGTAAGTTGACTTTCAGATCAGGAGACTTTAAAACACAAAATACCGAGGTGCTCCAATTTGGTTCTTGTTTTTATTACTTTTTCTGGAGTAAAAAGATCACTTTGGCACTGGCTGCAGGTCACCGATGACTTGATTGAGCTGATCTGTGCTGTGAGAATTGAATGCTCCCATTCAGGCACCAAGGTATCTTGAAATAAGTTCTAATTTTCCCCAAAATAAAAAGCAGTTTCCAGTGTGAGATCCTGGCAGCAATAAGAACCTGAATAACCTCCGGAAAGTCTTCTGGCCTTGCACACCAACAAGCTGACTCTTGTAAACACAGAGCAAGAGACACAAGAGGACTGCAAACCACTACAGACAGTGCCACCTCCTGGGTAAAATGCACAACTTGGAATTTAAGAGAAAAGTAAAACGCTTCCATCCTTGGCTCTGAGATGCTGAAGTGTTGCTTGACAGCTCGATATCAGCTCTGGAAAATGACACTTCAAAAAGAAACATGATCCCAAACAACAACCACTGCCTATGTTTAGCTTAATCACATTTCCATCCATCACCTTTTTTTTTTAATGATTTCAATTCTCCAGGTGTTTCCAGTCAAAGGACGTTTGTCTGATTCACCTTAATTCAAAACGTTCTCACATAGAAATCACAGCAGGTTTGTTCTTCTGTTTTGTTTTCCCATGAGCCTACATGTGACCAAGTTTAAAACTGTGCAAGTCTTTGGAGCCACATTCTGTGGTTCTGTGCTGGAGAGAGCTGTCTGGGAGAAACCACAGCAGGGAGTGATCTGCATTCCTTTCAGGTGGAGGAGGAGCTGGTGAAGAACAGCAGTGACTGTATGCCCTGTCAATACACAAACATGAGTAACACAAGATGTTTTTCAGAAAAATAATCTATTTTTTCACATTGTGCTCACTGTACAGAGCTTCAAATTCTGTAGTCAAAGTGAAAAGGACTTCCTATTGTCCCGCTGAAACACAGAGGATTGCAACTCCAGTTACATGGGAACCTTGATATCAAATAGCTTTGATTGTTTAATCTCAGTAGGTTTGGATTGCGTTTGCATTGAATTAATACAAGAGATGTTTTGTTGTGACAGAGATCATGTGTCCAAAAATTTCCTTCTATGTAGTCCTAATAGGTTCCTATTACTGTACTAACCAGTTCCTTCAGAGAGCTCATTAGCATCAGTGCCCTAAGAGGCCCTATACAAGGCATAATTTTCACTTAAAGCCTATTTAGTTACTGTTTAGGTTTCTTAGTATCTGCTGTCATCAAACTAATCAAGATTGAAAGGGTTAAATGAATCAATTTTTTACTTACGTGATGAATAGCAGCAGCTGAGCAAGAAGTGGAACAGGTCCACTGGCACAGGTTGCCCAAGGAGGCTGTGGATGCCCCATCCCTGGAGGCATTCAAGGCCAGGCTGGATGTGGCTCTGGGCAGCCTGGTCTGCTGGTTGGTGACCCTGCACACAGCAGGGGGGTTGAAAGTCGATGATCACTGTGGTCCTTTTCTACCCAGGCCATTCTATGATTCTGTGAAATATAACAAAATAGTTTAAGATACCTTTATGCTGACTGAACGGTTACAGACACAGCAATTTACAATTCGTATTTAGTTTCCAATTTCAAGTTCAAGGGACAATCCAATTTCTCTCTCTTAATAAGCTCACTTTCTCTCCTTTTAAATGTTTCATCCAATTTTACATTTATAATTCAATACGTCCTTAAATCTTCTTCCTTATCTAAATTCAGTAATACAACATTTGCAAGTACAGAACTACTCAATCGACTTCTGTTTCTTCTGCAAAGTGCTATGTGCTACTCGTCTGCTGTCACATGAGTAGGTTATCCACATTCTCTAAGGAGAAAATGTAAATTCAAATTCACCACATCACTTCAATTCCCATCTCTACAAGCACTCATCAAAGACACCTACACAACATCTTAGGTTATTAATACCCAATGGCAAAAGCAAGAAGAAAGAAAAAAAGGCTCAACGGAATCTTTTTCTTTTGCAGTTTGTTGGGTTTTCTTTCTGTAGCTAAGAAAATTTTCCTTGGCATCACTACCTGCTCAGTTTAAACACTTCCTGAAGGACAGGTGTGAAAAACCTACAATACCTGAAATATTCTGTAGCAGATTTACTGTCATTATCTCTCATCTCCCTCAGGGAGGAAATAAAGTTTCTTCAATGCTTGCCCTCAACCACCTAACAAAGGATGTTGATTCATGTTCCACTGCCATTTTTTTTTCTCAGTTACACATCATTCTCATCTTTATCATTCTACATATCTTGAAATCTGCAATTCCACAGTCTTACCATATGAGAGTACTTACCACATGAACGTCATTTCTAATATCAGAAAATACACTTCACAAGATTTTCAGCCTCAGTTTAGGGATGTATCAGGTCAGTGAGGAAGTTGAATTAACACCACCATTAAAGACAGATTTAAGTTTTCTTCATCTTTTCAAAGAACTTCATGCCTACAGAGAATACTTCACTTTGACACAGAATTCTAAGATTGAAAGATGGCTTACCTAAACTACAATTTGCTGCATTACACAACGTGATAAAAGGGGATATTAACTAAAAAGGAACGTCCCATTCCTATTTCCCATTCATTCATAATCTTCCTGCATTTCTCAGGATTAGTATTAGCATTTGCAGGATGTAATAATGATAAAATCTTGTCAGAGGTCGAACCATTTGATGTAATTCCATTGATATCTTTAAAATAATCAAATAGACAGTGGGTTACCCCCCATTTGCCTGTTGATTACATACTTTTGGAAGTATTTTGACATTTCCACAGTGTGATTTGTCAAGAACCACAGTTCCTTTAAGCAAAGGTAAATACTTGAAAGAGTTAAGAAATAAATAGTAAGTAGAGCTTTGCCATTTCAAGATCCATTTTGTTACCTCTGAGCGGTTCTTCAAACTTAAACTCATTTTATCTGTAAGGCAGATGATCAGCAGTGGCAGTCTTGATCCTTCATGTTGTGGTAGTGCTACTTTGTGGCCTTATCTGTTTGCATACTGTCCTGTATCGGATAATTTATCATTCATAGCTAAAAATCTGCATAAATTACACGATGGTTTTACAAGGCTCAGGAAGGGTAACAGTCTATTCTGGAAAATCCCAGGCCTGTCATTTTTATATAGAGAGGGTTTGACTCCAGCCTGGAGGCTTCTGTGTCCTGACAGAAGGAGCTGATGTGCTGACTTCTGATTTCTGATCTGATTTTAGATCTGCCCAAGATCTCACAAGAAGTCATTTCAAAGATATGAGTGTTACGCACATATTGTTTATCCAGTCATCAATGAACTTTCCCTTGTCTGGCACTTCTTTGCCTGTTACAGCAAGGAACAGCCCCAGGGTAACACCACATTTCAACAGGCAGAGCCTCAGATGCCCAGTGACCCAGTGCAGGTCACTTCCTTCAGGCCCTTTTTGCATCTTGCAGCCCCTGCATGCAGGATATGCTACACACAAAAAGCCAACAAGAACTGAGATCCATGAGATTGAGCATGAATATGCTCAGTACCCACTGGGCAGACACACAAAGAGCTTCCACTCTTCCACGGAAAGGCCAGCAGCCTCAATCAGGTGGCCAAGGACCAACCCTGCTGCTCCCTGCAAGAGGTGCCCAGTGGCACCAGGCTCTTGTTCTCCAGCACCAGCTTTCCTTGAGCATTTTGTATCTTTTTACACTGGGTAATTTTCCTCTTGTATCCTCTGTCACTGCTTGTGCTGATCTAAACCAGCAGCAGCTTCCTTCTCCACCCGCACCCTCAAGGCTGCTGACCTCCTTGCAGCTTCTTCCTGTAAAATGAGCTTTTCCATGCTGGCCTTGGCCACAGGCACCTCAACCCCAAGGATTTTAATTGAGAGGTGTGAAATTGCTGCAAGTGTGGGACAAGATAGAGGAGAATATCTTTTTCTTCCAAGCTCTGCTCTGCCCATTGCCAGTGCAGTCTTGGGGAGAAGCACTGGCCCACATTTCCATACGGAATCAAACTACATCCCACGGGAAGCAGAGCTTTCAGTCATTAATCTGTTTAGGAAAATAACAATTACTTCAGAGCACTCTTAAGTCTGAGTGAAAATCTTGGTCTACTTTGGAGAGGTAAGCCCAGCTTCCATCTGACAAATCAGTGCAAAAGCCCTGTCAAAGTTAGAACTGTTTCCTTCAACTACTCCACAATCCTACTCCAAGTCCTACTCCACAATCATAAGAAACAGAGACGTGAGGTAGATGAGATAAGGAGATGTTTCTGTTGAATGGCCCACCTTTCTACCTTCTATTTTATTATCATGACCAAATTAATGACAGCTGAAAGTGTCGCTTTCCACATAGGTTAAAATGGTCTCAAGGTGCTCATGAAGAGGCTTAGATTACACTGTAGGAAGATTTACTTCATGGTCAGAGTAGTCAAGCAGACTGCCAAGGGAAAGTGTGGAGTCCCCATCTCAGGATGTATTTAAGAGACATGTGGATGTGGCATAAAGTATGTGGTTTAGTGGTAGGACTTGCTGGGTTGGGTTGATTGTTGAACTTGATGATCTTGAAGGTCTTTTCCAACCTAAATGACTCCATGATTCCATGACTCCATGATGCTGGTAAGCCCTTGTTCAGTTTTTCATAGCAGTTATGCCTGTAAGTTATGTTGTGTTTTGTTTTGTTTTTTAATTTAATTTCAGGAGATTTACCTCAGAAACACTTATTTTCCAGTTCCTTCACCACATTTACATCAGAAACCTGTGCTACCTTTTAAGTTCTCTAAAGCATTTATGACTCCCGTGCCTGTTTTCACAGTCAAGTGCAAACACCACTGAGCCTGATAAATGCAAGCTTCAGCCTGGTGAAATATAAGCCAGTCGTGTGGGAAACTGCACAGAGTCTGGGCTGAAAACGGATTGCAAAATATCTCCAAAGGGCTACCTGAGGTCTGTTTGCACTTGCAAGGAAAGCACTGCCCTCTATGTACAGCTGAAAGAACAGGCAGCGTTGACAGGAGAAACTCCAGCAGGGCCTTCTTCCCCTTCAGGTGGCCTCAGCTCTGGGCACACTGGGGGGAGAAACATTAGAGGTAACTATTTGATAAGTAACTCTTGTAAATTACAATTATACTTGAAGTAAAGCATCAAAAAATATTTCTTTCTTGCTTTCATGTATAATCTTTAGATTGATGACACACTGAACTTTTAGAGAATACGTATGTGACTGCATACGTTACATAAAAATATACATGTTTATTTTAAAATGTTCTGGTGTTTATGTGTGTATTGAAACTGGGGTATTGAAACAGGGGACTGAATCCAAGGATGTGTCTGCCAGAGATGAAGCAGAGAATCTGTGCATTTCGCTATGGCCCTATTCCTATCTCACAGACCCTTCCTCTTAGGACTTGGTAATCCCAAAACAAAGCCATAAAAAGGAAATGAAGATTTAGCAGAGCCTACAGTTATCTCTCCCCTCTTGGCTTTATCTTGCTATCTGTGCTAGGTTTCATTTGCACAGGGTCAGTAATCCCAGCTCCTCTGAGGGGACTCTATGGCTGTGTTGGGAACTCTGGTAGAAAGGCAGGAGGTGCTTTTCCTCACCCTGCCACTGTGTGAGGTTGTAACTGCAGGGCATGGAATTTCAGCACAGGCTGTTTTGCCTAGCACTTCATCCCATGCTCCAAAAGCCATCCTTGGGCTGTTTATCCAGCGCACACATTAACTGCTATAGGTAGACACAGGGGCATTCAAGGTGACTTTTTTGCAAAAAACAGCTGAGATCTGGCAGTTTTAAAATCCAAATGCAATGCAGTCCCACTCGTCCCATGGCCCAATTGGGTCTGGAAACAAAATAAACTGACTACAAACCCTGACAATAAACTCACTGTGTCTCCAGTGCAAGGGCAAAGTGACCTGGGAAGGTTTAGTCTCATTTTCTTGGTTGTTAGCTCTGTCTTCCTTACTTCTGAGGTGCAATTTCTCCAGCATATAAACTCTGAGTAGCCTTGAGCCTCCTGGCATTTCCTGTTATGTTATTCAACAGAGTGAAGGATGAAAAAGGAAGTTTGTATTCTTTATGCAGGGTGACCCTTGATGCTTTTATTTCCACACACCTTCCAGACAAGGCAGTTTTTCATAGGGCCACAGTGAGTCTTCTTCAGTGTGTGTCTCCCAGACAGTCTTGTAAGCAGCAACCCTGGATTTGCACAGTGAACTACGTTACTACTCGTTGTTAATGCACACAGCATGCTCAGCCTCCTTCTGGATATAATGCTGTGGACAGCCACCAAATCTGTGCTACTTCAAATTATGTAAAAGGCAGCAGTAAAGAGGTCACAAAGGAGCATGCTATTTAGAACTAGAGAAGTTAATCATTTTCATCCTAAAAAATGCACAGGATCTCCTTCTCTCTGTAATCAAGCCCCTGCATGCTGGGTGTGCTCCACACCTGTAAGAACTACATGATGCACTGATGCTTATCCAACCTGTAAGTGCCTCACACCAAGCAATAAAGCCTACAGGTCAGGGCCGCAGGTGCACTGACAGGCTCTGCAACCTCCTTTTCCCTGCCTTGGGGCTGACCACAGAAGTTGATTCATCCTCTCCTCATCTCACAAGCGCAATGTTCGGGAGCAGAGTTGATAAAGGGCAGCTGTGATTTTGGATCTGACACCCAAATTCTGTGACAGAGCTCTGAAAAGCCCTATTTGGAACCTTCGCCCTTTGTTTTGGGGGCTGCCTTTGAACTCAGGCCCCCAGGCTAGGTCCTTGCCCAAGCTACACCAGCAGGTGCATAAGGAAGGTTAGGGGACAGGAATCCTCTAACCTCAGAGTGTGCTGATTCAGGACTTCAACTACATCTGATATGATGATCAAAATAGTTTATACTTCAACTGTGCAGACCTCAGGGACATGCAGTTTTGGGGACCTGCCATAATAAAGAGAACCAGAACTGGTCTCCGTGTTTCTTAATCCATGTAATGAACTTGGGCAGCGCTGAAGCAAGTAGAGCACTCACTTTACCACTTCTGCTCAGGGACAAAAGCACCAGAGAGGAGAGTGGAGAGCTCAGGGTGACTGCAGGGTTAGAGCAAGATGCCAAATCCCTGTTCTTGTCAGCCACTGTTCTTGTCTGAAAGCTCAGAAAGCCAGTTGTTGTGGTCAGATCACATAGCACGTTCTCTCTTAAGTCATCTCTGTTCTCTCTGAGGTGTTCCAGCCTCTAATACAGGAAACCAGGTGCCCAAATTGTTAGAATTACCTTATTCTTCATCAGTATTAAACATGCAAGTGTAGCATGCACTTCTGGCAGCACCACAGCGGGGACTTGACAGCTCCTGATTTCTAGCACCTTAGGGAACACCGTGCCCACAGAGATGTTCAGTAGTTGGGTCGTGCTGCTGCTGGAGGTGGGGCAGGCTCATCACCTGTGGGAACTGAGCAGCCCTTACCAGGCAATTTATGTTTTCAGATATATATACATATAAATCCAGACCAAGAACAATTCAGAAATGTTACTTGCTAGGGAATTTATCCCATACTATTTAATTTAACAAACAAAAAACAGACATTTCTTTTTATTGACAGACTGAAGAGATTCTTAATATATATCTCAGCATCCCCTCCCTGGAAGCATTCAAGGCCAGGCTGGATGGGGCTTTGAGACACCTGGTCTAGAGGGAGGTGTCACTGCCTATAGCGGGAGGTTGGAGCTAGGTGATCTTAAAGGTCCCTTCCAGCCCAAACCATTCTGTGATTCTGTGATCACTGCTGCATGTGTGATAAGGGCCCTGATCCCTGTTAGAGCTGTTTCTCAAGATTTTCAGAGTCCCTTGCCCAGCTTGCCATCATCAAACACGGCCTGAAAAGCTTTTTGGTCTTACAGCTGCCATGGCTCTCCAGCCGTACTGTGTGCTCTCTTGGAACACCATGCAGGCTTTCAGACCAAAAAGTTCTTCTGTACTGGAATCTAGGCACCAGCATGGTAAGTCAGCAGAAAAAAGAACTAACTTTATTATTTTTTAAGAGAAAATTAATATATAGAATCATGCACGTATGAGGGATACAATAAATAAATAATCACATGGCAGGAAAGAAAAGATTTCTAGATGCAGTAATTCTAAGGTCCTTTCTCCAGTTGAGTTTGTCCTGCACTTCTTTTGTGGGGAAAAAAAAAAAAACAATAAAAACTGAATGCAGATGTTGTTGATGGAATGTAGTTCTTCATTGAGGAGCATTTGCATACATCCACTCTAGCTTGCAGATGCAGAGCTCCATGGGCAAGGCACAGCTTCTGAAAACAGCCAGGTAAGGCTACTGGGGATGTTTTTTCATGTAAAACAAGAGGTATGCTGTTTGTCCCCTGCAGGAAAAAAAAAAAGAAAAAGAAAAAGCAAAACTAGCATGTTTGAAGATCTCACTGATCTCAGTTGCAAAAAAACTTCCAGGTTTGTTCCTGCTCAACTTTCTGAGATTTAGGTCAGCTTAAGCGGCCCTACCCAATGCTCCTATGGCAGCATGCTAACCTGCCTGGCAGCACTGCAGCTTATAGGAGGAAGTCTCTCTCTCCATGCTCATTTTCTTGTGATTCATCAACATACAAAGCATGGAGGAATCCTGACCGATGTACCTAACGCTAGTCAGGATCAAGGGTCAATCACAACACCACTCCTGCAGCACAGTTTGTGACTACTGCAGGCTCCAGGCACAGTCAGTAGAGTTGTCTCAAGTAGCCAGAACACAAGAATGCTCCCTATATACTCCAACATGTCCAGCTCATGACAGGCAAAGGGCAATTCCAATCATTTGTTCTCCCCCTCTTTGCTGCATCGTTTTAAATAATGAAATTTAGACCCCAGAGTGGCATTAAGTAAAAACGAAGAGGCACTTCCTTACCAGCTGAGGTCTGAATGCCCATAGGTACTTCTAACATCATCCCATGACACCTGAAGTAAAACACAGAAGGTAAAAGGGTTGTAAAAACTCTTGAGATGGACATAATGTGATACCAGCACAACAGTCCTCATGACAGTGATACATCTTCTACTTTCAGGAGCTACAAATATTTTAATTAAACAGTTAATCAATCACTCATGATTTTTGAGGAAAATCAGTTCCTTTGCCTCTTCTGAAAAAAAAAAAAAGAAAAAAAAAAGCATTAAACAGATGTAGAGTACATAATGTAGGGCACACAGTCAATGACTGCTTGTGGAAAATGCAAAGCAGATCCTGAGGTTCTGAGCTAAAGCCATCTTGCCCTCAGCTCTGAGGATGCTGTAGAAGAGGAAAGGCATGCACAAAGCTCTGCAGACTCATTTTTCTCTCCGGGTTCTCTTGAACTAGCAGTCAGTCAGACTAAGTGAGATCTAGAGGACTGTCTGGAAAGCTACAAAAGAAAAGTGGATTTGTCTCCTTACCTGTTCAACAAAAGAATCATTGAAGCAATACCATTTGCATTCTGTGAGACTTCGAATATAGGCACAGTAATGTCCACAGCTAGTTGATCCTGAATGAGCAACAACAGCAAAGAGCTCATACTGCCAGGCAGCCTGTAAAGAGGAACTTTCAGTAAGGCAATTTTCATTTACCACTGCTGAAAACAAGCAGCAGCCAGGACAGCAAGAATGTGCATTTCATAAGGAAAAGAAAGATCAGACTGACCCTGAGCATCCTGCCTTTTATAATATTACCCTCAGTGATTTGCCTGCCAACTGTGGACTAGCAGCCTCCCTGGAGGTTACAGGAACATAAAAAGGGCAGTAGGACAGCAAAGAGGCAGTAAAGGGGTGACAGCATCCAAGCACTGCACCAGTGAGATTTTGCTGTTGCCACACTTTCCCTTGTTACTCTCAGTAAGGGGAAGAGATGTAGCAGGTCACTCAGCTGCTTGGCAAAGCTGTCATCTTCCTGCTAACCTCAAGGTCTGGATTTGGTCAACTAAATTGACAGTGTTTACATCTTTTCTGTAGTATTTTTAGACACGGAAGAAAGAAGTTATGCTTATTGCTCTCAGAAGAAAGAAAAAGAACCATAAAGCCTGTTTTTTGGCTTCATGGCAGAAAACTCCAGTTAGTTATATTACCTTTGGAGACAGGAACTTGAATAATGCCTGAACCAGTCAAAACAATTAGATGTCAGACAACACCAAGCACAGGTAAAGTCTGAGACATACATTTCTAACACTGATTTGAAATGAAGTCCGCACTGATCTTATCAAATTCGAGCTAAAGGCAGAAGAAAATCTGACTCTTTTTGACAGGGCATTAGGATTATCTCACCTTTTCATTGTCATGTGCTTGGCACTGCTGTTCTGTCAAGACTGCATTGAAATCAAGGTCTTGTGGGAATGGCAGGCAGTTGCTAATTTTGTGGATGTAAGCTGATCTTCCAAAGCAGAAGCGCTTTAGGTGTATGGTCAGAGTCTGTGGCAGGTGGACCAGCTTTACACTCTGAAAAGGAATAAATAATGAAATTTAGAACCAAGGAGCAAACCCAGGAGAACTGGGGTAGAAAAAGCCATTGCCACAGAATCACAGAATCACAGAACGGCCAGGGTTGGAAGGGACCTCAAGGATCATGAATCTCCAACCCCCCTGCCACATGCAGGGCCACCAACCTCCCCATTTAATACCAGACCAGGCTGCCCAGGGCCCCATCCAACCTGGCCTTGAACACCTCCAGGGACGGAGCATCCACAGCCTCTCTGGGCAGCCTGTTCCAGCACCTCACCACTCTCTCTGTAAAGAACTTCCCCTGACATCCAACTCTATCATTGCTAGACAGTGAATGTAGCATAGCAGCCCATCTACACAGAGATGTGATGATCAGGTTTCTCAACTTCAACTTGATCAGCATTGAGCCTTGCGTGTCTCATTGACTGCTTCATTTCTCATCTGCTTTCCTAACCCCAGGTTGCTAGCATTCCCATAATTATTCCCTCTCTTCACTAACCCATGGACTGAAAATTATGGCATTTAAGATGTTCAGGTGACCAAATCAGCCATAGCACAAAATACAGATGGTGCAGCATGCTGCCTAGATGCCACAATCAGCAGGCTGTTTCTACACAACAAAGAAACAGTCACATTCAGAAGAAATTTCCCTCTTGCACAACTTGTCTGTGAAGATTCATTGGAACAGTTTTTTCTGTCTGCTGGGTTGGCTGTACTCTTCAGTGGCAAAATAACTACTGCGTTCATCACCTCTTTAAACCCAAGCACCACAATACCATCGATAAACTGGATGGGGTCTTGGGCAGGTGAGTGGATAGTCAAGCACTGTGCCTGGTGAGGAGAAGCAAGCCAGCTTTCTTGTGACATGGCCAACAGAGCTCTGTGCAGGATGCCACGCTGTCAGTTCACTCCACCTGGCGCTGCCTTTGTTGACAGTACTGCTGCTGCCATGACTGCCACCAAGACATGTATGCACTGTGGCCTAGGAGGGTGGACCAACCCTGGAAACGCCGTGGAAAGTCCCCTCCAAACCTTGGGCTGAGGCACTCTTCCCTGACACACCTCCCTCTTCAATGCACTTGCTGCTGCATGAAACAGCTAATTCATCTGCTGGCAGAGACCAATACTGTAAACACACAGAGCCCAATGGAGAGAAGGAGAGAAAAGAAACCACCCTATGCTCTCCTGCTCTTAAAGGTATGCACAGCACCGGTAACATACTCTTGTCTACCCCTAGGTGACTTATATTAAAAACCATAAAAGCATTCTTTTGTCCCTGCAGCTACGTTCACGGCAGGGATCTTGCCATATGGCTTTTACCCAGCTGACAGTGCTATGTCAACACAGCTTTGAGTTGTTGATCTCTTCAACTGGTACGGTTGAGTTCTTTCTCTGTTTTTCCCAGTCCTAAAGGGAGTTCTGAATATAAGAGATGTATGGGGAAATACTTCTGCTTACCTGCCGAAACGGTGTTTTCTTTCCACAGTGTTCACAGAAACACATGTTTTGACCAGTCAACTCTTCTGAATGGAAAAAGCACTGCAGGCACTCCTCCTAAGAAGACAGAACAGTTTTCTTTCATCTTATTTCCTTCCTTCAAGCTAGACTTTTATTTCAACTTTGCTTCACGGGCTGCATGTAGACAACAAAGCTACAGAAGGCAATTTTTAATTCAAAGGAAAAAATCAGTTTTCTGTCCCTTACCATGAATGAAAAAGTGAAATCAAGTACTGCTAGTCAGTTTGAATTGTTCTGCATTTTTTTAGTGTTCAGAAAGATTTTGTCTGCCTTGCATTCATCTGTAAGTTAGACTTGCTCCTGAATAACCAACTGCACAAGCAGTTACAAAACGTGACGTGTTCAGCAACCTGTGGACTAAGCACATAGTGTCACTGTAAAACATGCTCTTCACAGTGACATTAATGCATTTAATTTTTTAGCCAAAGAAAACAGAGGAAGGGTTTGGTCATTTTAGCACATATAGGTACAGTATGAAGAAAAGTTGCTTTCAGTCTTTGTTTACTTGAGTTCTAAAAACACTTTTTTTCTTTTGTTTGCCTTCACTGGAGAGTGTCAGAAGAAAAATAACCCTTATTCTTCTACATACAAAGATGGAATTTAGGAAGGAATGCTGCAGTAAGAAGACTCCCTAGATAAGAAAACTGGGCAATGCAGAGCTGGGAAATTTGACCAAACACAGAGAGCTGGACTGCAGTTCACTCTGACCTACCTGTATTTAAGTGCCTAGTGACATTAGGTGCCTGAATTTCCAAAGGCCCTGTTTACAGTGCATTAGGACTGGCAACTCTTGTTTAGCCTTGGACCTTGAAAAGCAAGAAGCCATTACACTGGGACACTCAAAACCAAGAGATTCAAAATCACTAGGGACTTTTGAGTGGGATCTTCACTGAGCTGCACTTCCTGCTCTCACCATCTGAAGTCAGCAAACATATGACTGTAAACCTCCTCCTTACGTAGTGCCTCTCCTATTAGAACTGACTATAGAGACATAATCATAGTCAAACTGTACTGAATGTGCATTCGTATGTGTACTCCTGCACACACCTAGACTGTGTCAAATCATTTCTACTGCAATGTGACCAGGACAGTTCTAAAACAGACACTTGTTTTGTTATTTCAACAGGTGAAAGAGCATCTTCTTTACATTAAGAAAAAAAATATCCACAAAGTATCAACAAAATAACATCAATAGAAACACATTGTTTTAAACCCCATTTTAGAATGAGTGTGAATAGCAAATAACTGTGTGCCTTTCAAACAGGACACATGTTATGCTATATATTCCTTTTCCTATCACAGCCCTGACATTTCATCAATTTCTACCCTTGCAGTGGGTGAAAAGTAAGACTGGATTCCAGATTCAGCCCTTACCTCTCATGCATTCCAATGCAATATCATACCCCTGGCATGCAGCTTGGTACAGGATCATCCCCATTGTGTTGTTTTTCTTTGATAGTGCAGCACTGTGGCAAATTTTCTATGAAGAGACAACTCCTAACATATCTCCTCTTTCTTAAGCTCTGGGTGCAATTACACTAATTGAAAAAGTAGAGTACTGCCTGGCACAAAAAAGGTGTTGGTACATGAAGGTATTTTACACCATCCCAAAGCCTCAGCGATTTTGAAGAAGGTTCCTTTATCCTGGAACAGCATAAAGCGATCAGAATAAGATCCAGTTGTCCACTGACAGCTGAAACCTCCACTCTCTATTTGACACCATCACTTCTTTATCTGGAATATCAAACAGCAGTACTGTTCTGACAGCAAAAGAACACTGCACCGGGCAAATGCAGTGCCCCTGGTGAGGGACTAACACTTATAGAGGGCACTTCTCTGTGGTAAGCAAACTCTCACAGATACACATCACCATACAGTGTAAGTCTTTGGATCATACAGAGTATTTAGTCAACAGCCTTCTCAGAAAGGAGCTTCAAAGATTTTATTTTCTTTCTCCAAAATTGAACGGACTTTTTTTTCTAGAGAAGTTTAAAAGCCTTCAAAACAAGCAAGAAATGTGAATGAGAAAAGGCCCCAGACAATCTGCAGAGATTCTCTAGAGAAGTACAGGGAGACACCAGTCCTACAGGGAGATGGCTCTGACACTGAATAGAGAGGAATCTTCTTTCAAAGGTCAGAGCACTATCACTGAACTTACCAGAGTCTTCAGCATGTGATAGCCAGAATCTAATAATGAGACTGGAAGGGTTAACATGCTGCTGTTCCTTTTTGTTTCAGAAGAGCACGTCTGACAGGCCAGGTGCTCCTGCACACTGATGGTGTACAAATCACTCAGCTTTTCAACCTGGAGGAGGTAAAAATGGCCAAAACAAGGTTTGTGAAGAACACAGCTGAGGTATTTCCCTCTGCGAATGGGAAGGGACATGCCACTTCATGAAGTGTTGGTACTTTAAGGCTTGAACCCAGATCTGACCTTGACTCATGTGGACTGGACAGTTCCACCATTTAAAGGAGAACAGCTCCTTCCCCTCACCCCCTAACCGAGGTGAAAGACATCTCCTGTAAAAGGACAGCTGAATGTCTGCTTTAAATGCAATTTTATTGTTCTGTTTGGAACAGTAACAGGAATCTGTCTTGTGTATGAGCAGAACTATGATACTGATTTGAGGAACAGACACTTTTTTTCTTACTTTACATCATTCTCTTTGGAGGAACTGTCATATACATACCAAGAGTTACCAATAATGAAATGCACGTGTCTGACTCCAAAGAATGAAGGAACTGTGTAAAGACATGCCAGTTAATGCTTACAGAAATTTGGGAAGACATGCAAGTTAACTAAATTTGGTGTTGCTAAAAGATTGGTCTTATCATTTATTAATAGATTCTCCTGTTAGAAAGGAAAACCTGGCATGCTCTAAACAGAGGAATAATAGAAGTGTGATTTAAACCCATGAAGTCTATGAGATCAAGACTGTCTACATTTAAATATGAGAGGGAATATTTAGATGGCAGATAATTCCAAGAATTTCATTTAGGATAACAATGAATGGGATTCTTCTTGGAGAAACAGAGGAAAGAACATATGGCAAAAGCATGGTGTTCATTTTAGTGATCATACTTACCAGCTCTGGGTTTTTCATCTGTTTCTTTAACAAGTTCCAGAGAGTCAGAAAGAGTTGGGCAGCATCATACTGTACAAACACTGGACAAGCAGAAAACAACCTCAATCAGTATTATCAAGAATGCCAAGCATGTTTTCCATAGATGGCAAAGGTAGATTTGTTCTTCTCCATTGGAATGTGTGTTCTGTTCCATTGCCACCTTCTACCAGGGACAGAGCTTAGTCTGGAGACAGCCACAGTGTCTTCTCGTGACCTGAGCAAATAGTGGGAAAAGATGGGAGGGCTCAAGTCCCCCACTGAACTACCCACTGCAAGAGGAACGTCTCTGTCAGTAGGACACAGAGCCTAGCATATGCCTATAACCTACCACAGGATAGGCCTGACTGATGCCTCATGGAGTTGGGCATCTCTCTTTAAGTGAAACAGAGAAGGCAGAATGCAAAACCTCAGAGGGAAGAATTATATAAATAGAAACACTAAGGTTAGCTCATGTTCCTCTTTCATATAGGTCTGGGCTGGTTATCGATTTTCCCTTCCAGAATTGCCATCTTTTAGCTTTTATACAAAGATCAGAGTATCTGTATGCAAACTACCATCCATATTTGTACATGTAATCAGACCCTCAGTATCCCATCCCTACTGGTCACTTGTGCAGATAACTATTTCTCTCGTTTGTACCCATGTCCAGATGGGAGAGTAGGTCAGTGAGTTCTTCTCTTAGCATTTATAACAAGGAACAGGAATAGGATCCCTGGGGATTTGGGTGAGCTCAGTATCTTTCTGACACGATCCCTTTTTTCTAATAAGAAATAGCAGCTGTTGCACTGTTATTAAGTAGTATAGTGAGTCAAATCAAGCCATAAGTCATCCACTCTGTGTCTTGCACAGCCTTTTATTCTGTCCAGTATCAACTGCTGAGTCTTCTAGCAGGCTGATCATCTTTGCATCCTTTGGACACCAGCAAAGTAAATCAGAAGACACAGCACCTCACTCATGACAGGAAGGTAGCTATAAAGAGCTACATCATCATGTACCTACTTCTTGCATTTCTGAATCCCTGAACGAGATGCCAAAGTCTGCACTGCTTTCCAGTGCTTGATAACAAACTTTCCCAGTCTGCAGGCAGAGGTGGGCATGAGAAAATGGATGCTTACTTGTCACTCTGTGTTCTACAAGACAGATAGCAAGCTCTCTGGGAGAAACTGCTTTCTGCTTTCCACACTGCATCTTCTCTAGCAGCAAAAGCATTTGGTATGGGACATTCTTCTTCTTTCCTGTGCCACACACTGGCACTGAGATCCTATAAAGAGAAGTAAAATGAATGGTAACCAAGCAGCGCAATGGAGGAATATTAGATTTCACACCAGAAGGAGCAGAGGTGGATGGCACAGATAGCAACTCAAGAAGAACCACAATGGGCACATTTTCAGCAAAATAAGGAAAAATGGGAAGAAAACACCAACACCAGCTCAGCCCACAGTGCAAGCTGACAGCTCTAAAGCAAAGGTTATGATTTTAAGTTGGCCCATTTCTGAATAAGGGGTAAACTGAGCAGGACTTGCAGTGCCTTCTGTGCTCTGAAGCAATATTATCTACAGCTGTTTTCAGAGCTGCTCTTGCCTTACTCCTTTCCTTCATTTTCAGCTACCCTCAAAATTTCATGGGCAAGTATATCACAATTAATGAATGCTGAATATAGAAAAGATTTCAACTATATGCCAACTGGGAAGCTCTTTATCCTCTCTAAATTTATTAGAGTCAACATGTTTTTCTATGTCTTTCTTTAAATAATAATAGTAACCTTCAGCCTACATTATTTTGCTTTTTTAATGACATTTATCATCCCTGTACACCTGTAACTTGTCTCCTTCCCACTCTGCACACTGATGAGTGTGTAAGAGATTTGGAGAAAAGACTGAATAGGAATGATCCACTTAGATGCCTAAAGCTACAGTGAACTGAGCAAACTGGACACCAGTTTTAAGGGTGGCACAGAGCAGCAGAAGCCCACATCGTGCTCACAAACAAGTAGCAAGCACTATGAAGCAGAACAAAGCAGCAGTGTACTTGCTCTCTGCTACCACATTAGTCATCTCTATCAAGAGTTAGGCCCCAGGGCAGTGGGGGCCAGAAGCTATGGATCATCAGGATGTATATTTTCATATGCTTGCAGTTACAAGGTTAATAGTGGATATGGTTTTACGTGGCACATCCTTTAATTATAATGTGCTCTGATCATACTTGGGACAAAATCATATCCTGCTACTGAAAAGAGGTACAAATCATAAAGACTCAGTTCAAGCCTGCAATGCCTCAATGTGCAAACATTACATGAGAGATGACTAACAAGTAAGAAAACAGCAAGTTTTGACTTTGTAGGCCCTAGTCTGTAAAATAAGAGGCACTGCAAGATAGAGATCTTTTTGAGCTAGCTGGAAGTACTTAACACCTCCTAATGAATCAGTCCTTCAAATGTATGCTCCATATGAAAAAAGGACCAGAGACAATGGGGCAACAACAGAACCATCTCAGGTAGTATGTGAGCAGGCAGTACCTTCGCAGTATCTTTGTGAAGTGTATGTTCATGAAGAACACCTGGAGCAGAGAGTTGAGACAGCAGGTTTGTCCAATATTATACAGTCCAACAGCTCCTGTAGGCACAGGAAAAGAGAAAGTGAAGTCCAAAGACAGGTGACAAGAAAAGAAAGTGAAAAAGATTTAAAAGATAGAAAACTCATCTTTGTATGTTTCAGCCATTTAGTGCACAGCTTCAATATCTTGCTCAGACCTCAGAGAGGCTCCAACCTACTTTCCTCAAGCAGATAACATCTGTGTTTCTTTTGACAGCTGGCATGAAAAATCCAAGTCAGCCTGGATTATAATACTCAGATGTCTCCCAGCTCCTCTACTTTCAGTTAACACGCTTAAAATAAACAGATACCAAAGGCTGCCTGTATGAACATTTTTATTCAGCCTTTTAAACAGACAGGTCTACCAACAAAATAAGGAGCTGCATGTGAGAAGCACATGTGAAGTGTCTACCACACAAGCTAACCCGCAGCTGTTTACACTGCATATAGAACTTCTTTCTGTATTCTGTGCCCCAAAGCAATGCCAGTAAAGCATCAGAAAGGAAAAGTTTGTCTTCTGAAGTCAGGAGAAAGGAAATGGGGCAGAAACTCAGAACAACTGTGAAATGTGTACAGCCAGTGGTAACGAGAGATCTATGTGATACACAACAGAATGTACACCTGAAATACTGATGGCAGCTTTTGGGGAGCCAATCTACTGACACAGCATAGTAACTAGGACCTACTGCCTAGTTTAGCAAATCAATAGGCAAAGCTGGCTGTGTTTAGAAAAAGGCTGCTACCTACTTATTCTCAGCTGCAATGGCCAATACCAGGAGTTGGAAGGGGAGAAAGCTCTGAGATCCTCATGTAAGTCCTTATCAAAACCCAAAATGGTTTCTTGACACTGCAAAATGAGAATCATCTGCACATTCCTCAGTAAGGGGGTAAAGGAGAAAACAAAGCCCAAGAACAGAGAATGGAACAGAAGGCATGAGAGACAGAAAATACACATGCGAAAAATAGACAAAACTTGATTACTGTTTTTTAGGTCGGCAGCACCAAAGACTGATGGTGGCCTCCAGTCTTCACTCTTTGACGCTTTGTCTTCTTCTTTATAACTTTTTTCTTCTGCCTTCATGGTCTCACTTGGTGATGTCTCTAGTTCCTTCTTGCTTTCCTGATGCTCACCTCTTTGGCTCATCAATAATATTGCATGTACAATCACGGAAGGACTGCAGAAGGACATAGAAAGATCAGAAAGATAGGGAACACCCAGAAACATACAATTTCTATTTCATATTTTCACGATGAAAATTATGGAATGTAAATAAAACTAGTTTGATTACTGCAGTAGTGTTTGATACATTTAAATTATTGTGGGCGTGGTAAATGGGCAATATATCAGCAAGGTAAAAGACACAGAGCTTGTTGGCAACTGCACGTCCTTCTCTCTGTGACTAAATAAATGATCCCCTGGTTCCACAGAAGTAGCTCCACCTAACCAAGGGAATTCTAGACACACCTACCTGTTCATGATTCAGTGAATAATATTATTGTTCAACTGTCAGATGTTGAAAAACTCCTCTGGTTAGTAACAGTAACGCCCGAGTATTCAAAGGAGAAAATTTCACCTCACCTAATCTTTTGAGCTGATAAGCATTTATTTTCTGGTTGGGCTGTCCATTGTTTTTAAGCACACCAACCACAGCTCTACTGCAGCACTTTGTATTCTAATTTTTAAAGGCATTTCAGCATTCGAATATCATTTTCAGTTCACGCTTCTTCAAGTGATCACAAAGGAGCTGTTTAAGCAAGAGAACAATTACAATGCCTTGAGTTTGAATGAACCATTACTCTAACAAACCTCTACGATTCAGCAACTGGCACTTAAAGTAAAACTCAAAACAATCACTAAACAAAAAAAGAAATTAAAATCACAGTGTCCCACACTCAGATCAGATCACATCATCAAATTTACTGAAGAATTTTATTTGGGGGGGAAAAAAAAGAAAATCAGAAATTGAAAGATAGATTCAAGAAGACTGCATTTCATATGAAAAAGCAGTGATTTGAACAGCTATTTCAGGAAAAGCTTAACTGGATTCAATTTCTTCTTTTGCAAAACAGTCAGAACTCATTCTCCACGTCTCCTGGAAAGTGGTTTAACCAGGCATTCAGGATTCTGAAATCCCATCCAGAGAAAGAATGCATCTTTGTGTGCAGTAGAAAATATTGGGTTTATTTGTGGTGTATCAGCAAGAGTGTGAGTAATGCCATCAGCCAGTGGTGATGTAGGAGGAGACAGAAAGGAGGGAAAATGATCAGTAGAGTAGAGGGAGCTGAACAGCAGCTATGCGTGTGCTGGAGATGAGGAGAACTTGCAAGACACAGCTTTTGGTAGGCTTAAGAGTGGGATGAACAAGCAAGCTCAGAGCTAGGAAGCTTCGGGTGACTTTGGAAATAGGTGGAATTACACTAGTGTTGGAAGGAGCAGGGATCTACAGAGATAGAAGGATTTGGGTCTGCGGTTTGATGAAACTCTCCCCCAGGCACCCAGGCCCTGCTAACAGGAACCCTGGCTTGCGAGCAAGGACAAGACCTGAACTTCCCAACCATTGCATGGAACTGCCTTGTCTCAGCTATAAAAAATACAGTATTCCTAAGATTTGCACGTGATCCTCCTTTTTCTGCATAAATATATAAGAAATCTGGTGAGTGGGCAGAGGACTTGGGGAGCAGACTTCCCACTTAGCCCTGATTTCTCCCCTCTTACTGAAGGGCAGGGTCCCTTCTCTGTTTCCCTGGCAGATGAGGGCGATGACTCAGTACCACTTGTGGCTTAGATGAGCGGAGTGACCATGCTAACTGCAGGCAGACAGAAGGCAGCAGCCACGTCTGCTTCTATCTTTCACCCACCATCTACAAGCTCTCTCGCCCATCCTCTCAGTCAGCTTAGACTCGTCCCTTTCACTCTCAATGCACCACAGCCTATCTGTCCCCTCAGGATTCTGACCATCCACGATAAAACCCATGCCCCTTTACACCTCCATGCCACAATGCTCTCAGCCCCAGCATCCCTGTGGTCTTGCTGCCCCTTTGCCACCCAAGCCCTCTCTGCCTGAGGATTGCCTCTGTCCCTGGTCACCATTCACCCTTCCCACCATCATCACCCCTTTATCCTCATGGGGTTTGGGCTCTCAAGGGGACAGACAGTGCCTTGGGGAGACAAAGGCCAATGCAATGAGTTGATCTAGTGGCCAGTAACCCTGCCCACAGCAGAAGGCTGGAGCTCGATGGTCTTTCAGGTGCCTTCCAACCTAAGCCACTCTAGGAATCTATGGAGCTCTCAAGGAGATGATGGTGGCCCTGAGGTGCAGCTGCAGGGCTGAGAGCTGGACTTGAGCACTTGTCTTGACACGGCTGAAATGAGACTTCCCACTCCTCTGTCGAACTACGCGCTTGTTCAGCTCCCTTTTTTTTTTCTTTCCCTTTCTATACATATTTTTGTTCATTAAAGAATATTTCTGATGAGCCAGACAAAAGCAACCATTCCAGCCGCTACAAACGTCAATTATTCGCACCCCTTTGACTTCATGCCCTCTAATTAGCACAGTAAGAGCTTGCAGACAACAAGACCCCGACATATTACGCCTGGGACCCTACTGGCGCCCTACGGCTGCGGTTCGCCGTAGCGACAAGCGGTCCAAAAGGTTTCCCTACCAGTTCCTGCAGGATCTCGAGCGCTCGGAGCCACGGCGGATCTTCAGCCTTCCCCCGGGGCCGCATGCAGCCGTAACGAGCCAGGAAGGCGCATGAACGCAGGGCGAAGGGCACCTCGGTCCCGCGGGCAGCGCTGAGGGAGCGGCTGCCGCGGCGGCGCTGCCTGAGAGATTGCCGCGCTCCGCCCGGCTGCGTCAGAGGGCAGCCAGCAGCGCCCACAGCGCAGCGGAGCTTTCATTTCCCGCTTAGCTCTGCCCCCGGACAGAAAGTGAAACTCAGCTCCGGTGCAGTCCGGGCGGAGCCGCTGGTTTCGCTTCCCGCTCGCCGCCAGGGGCGGACGGGGCGCAGAAGTAGGCTGCTGTGAGGTACGGCGTCCGTTCCTTTTAGCTACAAAAGCAATAAGAAAGCCAAACTGTTAGGAACGCCCGCAGTAACCTACTTATTTAAAATAACCCCAAATAAGTTACTTGCTTAGAAACTTAATGCGTGTTGCAGCCTCGAAGTGTAACCAGTTCTGCTCGTAAGTGAGCCGTAGTCCCCAGCAGAGCACGGGTGAATGGCAGTGATACAGTAAACGAAATTGCTCAACCACAGAGTAGCTTCAGCTCCAGCCCATGCTGGATGGTGCCTGGACTCAGCGAGTCCAAATGCATCCAGACCAGCAAGAGTTCTGGCACCCACTCCTCCAGTGCATTTCCAGGCTACCTTCCTCTTCTTCCAGAGCACCAGCAGAAGGAATGGAACGATGTGCTGCCCTGCTTGGATGTTCCGCTTGTTGGGGAGTAGCTACCAGTCCAGCTTTGCACCACACAACGAGAGAGGAGAGCTGAGAGGTGAGTGGTGCTGCCCTGCTGGCTGGGAAGTGGTGTGTGTGAATCACAGGATCATAGAATCATGGAATTGCTCAGGTTGGAAAAGACCTTAAAGATTGCCAAGTCCAACCATGACCTAACCAAACTACCTTAACTCTAACAACCCTCTGCTAAATCATGTCCCTGAGCACCACATCCAAACGGTTTTTAAACAAATCCAGGGGTGGTGATTCAACCACCCCCCTGGGGAGCCTATTCCAGTGCTTCACAAGCTTTTCTGTAAAGAAGTTTTTCCTGATATCCAACCTAAACCTCCCTTGGTGCAACTTGAGGCCATTTCCCCTCTTCCTGCCACCTGTGAAGTAGGCTTTCTGCAATCTGCGTGAAATAGATGGAGCCTTTGGGGGCCCAGGAGTGAGACCCTGCTCAAACGGCCTGGCCCTCACAGCAAGAGCTCTTCAGCCAAGGCAGCAGTGGCAGTGAAAAGCTTCCTGAGCTATCACATGGGCAGACAAGAGTACCTGTAGAGGCTTGTGGGCAGAAGAGTACAAATGAATCAACATCTTTCCTGTGGAATTTGTGAATCATTTTGGTAATGACAGAGTTAATGGTTTTCACTCTATTACTAGTTTGTGTGGAGTCTGCCTGATAAAAGTGAGAGGAAGAGTAAGAAGAACTGCATAGCTGTACGCTGCCTTGAAACAGTTAAACCAACTAAGCGGAGTGCAAACTGACACCGGAGATTAACTAGGAGCTAGATCTGTGTTAAGCAGTGAAGGACCATGCAGCTGCCATGGCTTTTGGTAATGACCTCTTTGAGAATCTGGTTACTAGATTAAATGGAGCTTATGTCTTATTTAATAATATTGTAGGGCCTGCCTTTGGAAGTCAGTTGTGACACTCCAGTTCCAAAATGTATCGGGCAGGTGTCTGAGCCTGGGAAATACACTTAGATGAAGAGATAGTTAAAAGTGAGTAGATAAAGTGTTTGGATCCAAATACACTGCCTGTTGAATGTCATGGGGTAGTGTCACTTTGACAAAACCTGCTTGCTCCTGGTAACTGCCATAGCACTTTTAAAGTAACCTCCAAATCATTCTAAAGAGTTCATTGACTACTGAGAAAATTGGGATCCTGACTCCTAAGTGTCCATGCTAATAAAATAAAATAAAATAAAATAAACCATAAAATTGATAATCAGGATGAGATTTGAAAAGCATTCTGGGAGTTAAGAACTCCACATCCTATGGTTTAGAGTTTATAATGTACTCCACTCTGGATTGTTGTCTTCTCACTTCTTCATCGTATCATTTTCAGCAGTTTTTCAAGAAAGCAAGCACTTTGTCTGCCAATTTTGTCACCATTTCTTTTTTAACAGTGTCCTATGTGTAAAGTTTCCTGTTTCTGGCTTTGGTTCCAGTTTAGGTAGGAGATAACAAGGAGTCTAACAGTCTAAATCCCATTGGGTTGAGTAACATTCTTTCATGTTGCTTCAGTTTAAATACATAATCAAGTATATCCTGAATAGGGATATTTTCCTAAAGAGAGGCATTTCTGGTATTCTGTAAGTGCACAGTTCGGCATTTTAGTGATCTGGATGATTAAATGCATATCATGCACACTGTAACTGTCAACATAAATAGAAATCTCTATGTGAGGAAGATAACAGAATCATAAAATCACAGGATGGTTAAGGTTGGAACAGACCTCTGGAGGTTGACTGGTCCAACTCTCCAGCTCAAGCAGTGCTACCTGGAGCAGCGTGACCCTCTGGCATATCTGCCATTCCTCTCACCCTCTAGGCTCAGCCATTCAGCCAGTTTTCAATCCATTTCAGTGTCTACTTACGCAGCCTGCACTTTGGCAGCTTCTCTTTGAGAATCTTGAAGATCTGACCAGAGACCATCAAAAGCCTTACCAAGGTCTAGGTGGACTATATTCACTGCTGTCCCCTAGTCTACAAAGACGGTCATTTTGTCATAGAAGTTTATCAAATTATTCAGACATGACTTGGTGAATACATGCTGACTACTAATAAATTGTTTGTTTGTTTTTTCTGTTAATGTCCATTTTATGTCCATCAGTTGAAGATCATTTAGAGGATAATGAAGCACAGAGCAGAGGAACCATTTCTCCATTTCCATTGTTTTTTGACATGTCAACAAGCAAAAGGCAAAGGTATGTCAAATTTAAATTTGAAAACTATGGTGTTTCACTGTAATCCATTAGAAGCTTGTAAATATTTGATTTTCATGTTTTAACATGTGTTAGAGTTTTTAAAAGCTTACACTAACAGGAGAGCAAGTCTTTGTACATTGCTGGGAATGGTGGAGCATTACTACCATAATGGAGATATGATCATCGTATCTTACAGGACAATCATACCTTACAGGACAATTTGCCTGTGATTCATAGAACAAAAAAATGTCTTTACGTGACTCCTCCTATATTGGTGTATATTACAAAGGTGTGACATAATCATAGACATATGCAGTACAGTGATACAGAGACAATTCTGTGCTCACTAGGAACAAGATATATTTTAAAATTACTCTCCATCATTTTCATCTTCAAATGAGTCAGTTCCCACTTCTTCATAGTCCTTCTCCAGGGCAGCCAGGTCCTCTCGGGCCTCTGCAAATTCTCCTTCCTCCATGCCTTCACTTACATACCAATGAACAAAGGCTCTCTTGGCATACATAAGATCAAACTTGTGGTCAAGCCTTGCCCAGGCCTCTGCAATAGCTGTGGTGTTGCTGAGCATGCAGACTGCTCGCTGAACCTGGGCTAGGTCTCCCCCAGGAACTACTGTAGGAGGCTGATAGTTGATCCCAACCTGGAAGTAGGAATATGAGAGAAGCATGAAAAAGGCAAGGGGAGAATGTAGTCAGGAAGTTGAAAAAATTAATAAAGTCACAGATGCTGTGATAGCATGGTACCACTATCAAATGGCAAATACAATAAAACATAATAAGGTTATACACAATATATAATCATTGTAATTGCTGTACACTTATTCTGTTTAATGTATACTGGAAACTTCCTAGCTTTCTTAACAGCTACTCAACACCAAACATACTGTTTCAACAAGATGCAAACTAATACGGAAAGTTGGTTCCCAGTTAAAAGTACTCAGTTTCTTAAGTAGATATTTGCATGACAGATGTATTGCTGTAGAAATGATGTTTGTCAACGTTCTATGGAGCCAAAGGAGAGAGGCCACATAGTACTTCTGTATGAGAGGGTTAGCTGGCAGCTTCTTGAGTACCAGTATTTCCTTTATTGAATGTATTTACTCTGGTATTTCCTTAGTTTTATTTGTTGCTTCAGAGAGCACAGTCACTGGCTTTCTCACAATTTGGGTCTGAAAGTAATATGACTTTAGATTTGAACTCATACAGCTAGATTTCTACTTATAAATATTTACGAATCTGTGCCATTAGGATTTCTGAAGGAGAAAGCGCATATTTTATACCCATAAACCTTTTATAGGTTCATTTTTCTCACAAGTGAAAAGCATGCAAGATCTAAAGCTGAAAATACAAGATTTCAGCCAGACATTAAAAGTTAAACTCATGGCATTCTCACCTTGAAGCCTGTTGGACACCAGTCAACAAACTGGATATTTCTCTTAGTCTTGATGGCAGCAATTGCTACGTTGACATCTTTGGGAACTACATCTCCACGATAGAGCATGCAGCAAGCCATGTACTTCCCATGCCGCGGGTCACACTTCACCATCTGATTGTTGGGCTCAAAGCAGGAGCTGGTGATTTCAGCCACCGAGAGCTGCTCGTGATACGCTCTGTCAGAAGAGATGATGGGGGCATAGGTCACCAAGGGGAAGTGGATGCGTGGGTAGGGCACCAGGTTTGTCTGGAATTCTGTCAGATCCACATTGAGGGCACCATCAAAGCGCAGCGATGCGGTGATGGAGGAGACAATCTGGCTGATCAGGCGATTGAGATTAGTGTAGGTTGGGCGCTCGATGTCTAGGTTTCTGCGACAGATATCATATATGGCCTCATTGTCCACCATGAAGGCACAGTCTGAGTGTTCCAGAGTGGTGTGTGTGGTAAGGATGGAATTGTAGGGTTCTACCACAGCTGTGGAGACCTGAGGAGCTGGGTAGATAGCAAATTCTAATTTAGACTTCTTCCCGTATTCCACAGAGAGGCGCTCCATCAGCAAAGAGGTAAAGCCAGAGCCGGTGCCCCCTCCAAAGCTGTGGAAGATGAGGAACCCCTGCAGTCCAGAACAGGCATCAGCCTAGAAACCAAAAGATAAAGTGAAAGAATCAGGGCCGAAAAGGAAGTAAAAGACTAGATCTACTGCATTTGTTTATTCTGAGATGAAGGAGAGAGCAATCATCAGCAATATACAGCACATATTTCAGCTCAGTATTTCTTAAGAAAGAGCT